CCACCCCTATGGATTACAAATGGCTGTCTGGTTGAAACGACGCGTGTGACGGGGGGTGGGGAGCAATCGACTTTTTTGGGGGCAAAATGAATGTACGTAGCTGAAAATAGACACCAACATGGGTAGCCTACAAGGTACTTGTTAAGCTTAAGGTTATGTATTGATATTAGCTAGTCATCTTTTAGCTAACATTAGCTAGTCATCTTTTAGCTAACATTACCTGCATCAGCAGTTTTACTCAACTCAGTCGGTTAGTTTGGAGGGAAAAACTGTGAAAAGTTCTTTGCGTTTTGCTGGTTTGCTGCCGTGATTCTAACACAAACCTACGTAGCTCCACAGCAGCAGCAGGTCTCCTTCACAGGTGGAAACCCAGCCGGAGCGTCTCAGCGTTCATGTTGCGTTTAAAGGCGGCTCGGAAAAACAGGTTACAACATGTTAACAACGGATTAAACAGTTTTAACTGATAAAAGTGACAGAGGACACAAATATGGGTAGTGTGGAAGCCTCTACTGTATCAAATTGACATAGGAATAACAGAGTTGGCCATTCTAAGGTAAAAACCCAGCGCATACAGTGTTCATGTTTTTTTTTTTTCATCCAGACGGCATCCCGCGCCCCCCCTGCAATAACATGGCGCCCCCCTAGGGGGCGCACCCCACAGTTTAGGAACCTCTGTCTTAGAGAAAGCTGAAGCTTGGACATAATTGGATATTTAAATAGAGCACTGATCACAGCATGCCTCAACATCTACCACGGCTTGGTTTCAGAAGATTTCCTACTTGGTTGCCCTTCATACTTATGTCACTTAACATGCTAAAATGTTCTGGTAGGATTTGAAAAGGGCGGGTGCAGCACACAAACACGACAACATTAATGAACCAGAGGTCTCTGCCCAGGAAGAGTGGGATGAGGTTCCTCGGGAATACTCCCAGAAGCTGGTCATATAATGGAATTAGGGTGCTGTACTTAACAATTTTGTTCATGAAGGGGTTGAATAATCTACAGACTGCAGAAGTAATCAAAAGTGACCTTTTACAAATACATTTTTGAAAAACCTTTTGTAGTATTAGCTGTGTTGAGCCTTTTTTGAATTGTTTGTTGCATCTGCTGTTTTGCATGATACAAATAAACTTCATTAGAATTGAGTGTTAAGTGCTACTGCACTGTAACACTCGGAATGTATTCAGTTTTAAACAGACACACAAATTAAAGTAAAGTACTAATGAAAAACCTGAGCAAACTAATCTATGTAGAGACAAAATGCAGAAAATGAATAGAATAGAACAGAAATACTTTTATTTTTCAACATGGGGTAATTCAGGTTATGTGCTCTATGTAAACCCCAAAGGGTCTTGAACTCTGTGCAACGCTATGGTCCTCCCAACCCCCACACACATATTTTTCAAGCTGCTTCTGAACTCGCACAAAGAGAATATAAAAAGCAAAAGTTGTGTGTGCGAGTTTTCCTTGGCATGTCTCTGAGACGGGACACGGCGCAGTGGAGGGACGACAAGAGACAAAGTCACAGGAGCTGATTGCTGCAGCGGTTCTCTGTGGGTTCGATGTTATGTATTTATTACGTGTGGTTTCTGTGTGAACTTCCGTTGAGTCATGTCTGTCTGCCTGCCTGAGATCTTGTTTGTGCATCTGATTGTCACAGTTTGCAGAACATTTTACAATATGCGGCAGAGCATGAGAAATTTTACTTCGCTCTGTGCAGTCCTGTTTGTGCCAGCAGCAGAACTATCTGATGACATTATGACTTTACAGCATCAAATGAGTCAAAGTTATTGTACTGTTGTGGATGCCAGCTCTTGTAGCTCTTGTAATAAGAACATTGCGTCAATCAGACCAATGAAAATTAAACTAAATTAAGACAGAGAAAGTGTTTTTATTTTGTTCCTTTACAATAATTCTCTTCTCTTTTTCTGTGTTTTACCTTTTCTTCCGCCTGGCTTCTCCAGACATCATAGTGCTGATCGCGTCAGTGGCAGTGGTGTCGTCGGCAGGCAGCCAGACCAACATGTTTGCCACCTCAGTCCTGCGCAGCTTGCGTTTCCTGCAGATTCTTCGGATGGTTCGGATGGACCGAAGAGGTGGGACCTGGAAGCTGTTGGGATCCGTTGTGTACGCGCACAGTAAGGTCAGCAGAAACAAAACACACCGAGAATCACACTGAATGGACTGCCGGTAAAGCTTTGATTGGTCAGGTTTCCGATAAGCCAAAAACAAACAAACACACAAAAAAAAAACAACAACCTAGACCTAAAGTTATACACATACACACACACACACACACACACACACACACACACACACACACACACACACACACACACACACACACACAAATACCAAACGTTTCTCTTCTGTGTCAGGCTTTAATTTAGAATTTATGAAAAAATCAGCTGATCCAGAACTTTCCTAAAACCAGAAAGTTAGAGCTCCCCATAGCTTTAAACTACTGCTGTTAGTTTACAAATCACTAAACGGCTTAGCAACACAATAACACAATACATTATAGATCTGCTGTTGTTGCATCAATCTTCCAGATCAACCAGGTCTTCTGGATCTGATTCTGCTGTGTATCCCCAGAACCAAATGAGGAGAAGCGGCATTCAGCTTCTATGCACCACAAATCTAGAATAAACTTCCAGAAAACTGCAAAGTAGCCGAAAAACTGAGTTATTTTAAATAAAGACTAAAAATCCATCTCCTTTTCAAACATAATAAATGAAACATCGATGTTTGTTATTGGTTTTCTCTATTGTTGACTGTATGGTGTTTTTTTTATTACTTTGTATGTTTATGTTTTTTAAGATGTAAAGCAGTTTGAACTGCCTTGTTGCTCAAATCTGCTATACATATAAACTTAATTGATTGATATTACACACGTAAGGTCCAAAATACTAGTTAGACGTAAAAACGGCAAAATTGCAAATTGCATTGAAGTTTTGTCTATACTGTGAGCGTGAAGATCTGCATTCTACATATATAATTCTATGTACATATATACTTTTTTTTAAAGAAAGTTTGAAATCCTGGAAAAAAGTATAATTGTAGGCTATCTTTTAATAATAGATAAATGTCATGTGACATCACAGAAACATAACGGTGAGATCTTTCACATATGAATCAATACATATACTCTTCATCTACACCTGAAAAATAAATAAAACATAGTTATTTAAAACAATAATCTGAAAACATAAGGGAACCAGTTTAATTTGTGCTTTTAATCCTGCAACTATGTGTTGAAAATCTAGTTAAATTTAAACTCAGAGCTCCGGCCAAAACATTTCTAGCACAGTTTCCCCTCCACTTCCTGCTCTTTTCCTTTGACTCACTATAATCCATCTGCCTTCACCTCCTACAGCCCACACAAACCTTTTCTCTTTTATTTCTGCCTGACATATTTGTGTAGAAACCACAGTGGGTCATTTCTGCTTTTCTTTGCTCTTTCAAAGCGGCGCATTCAGATAGACTCCTCCTGGTAAAATGTTTCACACTACACAAACAGGTCGAGGTTGAGTACAAGACGACAACGCGTCTTATACAAATTCTTTGATTCCGCTCCTGCATCTGACTGTGGGCAAGCTTTTGGCCGCAAAATTTGTTTCGAGTGGATCTTTGAGGAGAAAACGCAACTCATAAAAGGATCACATGGCTGCATTTATGTCCTGTTGTTACCTCAATGAGATGTTGCCACATGTACATTTACTATTTTAGCTTTTAGCTGCAAACAAAGTTTCAAATGACTGTTTTAAATGACGTGAGATTAGCAAAGTGTTGGTTGGTGCTAGTAAACATCTCGTAGTGCCAGACCACTTACAACATCTGCAGAAGTTAAATGAAATCCTTATTAACAAAGATCCATAAATCAAACTTTAAGACAAAATTTTCATCCCAGATTTTTGTAAAACTGATTCCAGCTTTTCTTAAATAACTGGAATTATAAACACATATTTCTTTTTCTAGCCTTCCTGCAGTGAGGAGTCATTAGGAATATATCAAGAGCTTAGGCAACTTGACTTTGCTAGTGTGAGAGCAGTCACTGTAAAAGTGGGTTTTGCTTAGACAAAATAACAGACGTGGGATTATAAACTTGCTTTAAGTTTTTAAATTAGCAATTAGCGTTGGTGGTGCAGCAAGCATTACAAAAAAGTCATGACCTTTATTTAGGCTCTTATCTTAACACTGCCAACATTTTGAAAGCCAGCACATTTCCTGACAGACAGGTCTACAGCTGTAAAGGATAAAAAGGAGCAACTTTGAAAATGCCTGCAGGAAGTCTCACTTTCTCACAGCTTCAACGGTTCAGACACGACTTGGACTTAATAAAAAAAAATGACACCTCTGGTGTCCAATCTTTAGAAAATAATTTAATTTTAAAAGTGAGAGAACGAATGATTCCTTTCATAAAAGACATGGATTTAATTCTGTTATTTAGCCACAGTTAAACGTGAATGCTTCCTCTGATTTCCTTCCTGCAGGAGCTGGTGACTGCCTGGTACATCGGCTTCCTGGTTTTGATCTTCTCTTCGTTCCTCGTCTACCTTGTGGAGAACAAGTTCAACAAAGAGTTTGCCACCTATGCCGATGCGTTGTGGTGGGGCACGGTAAGCTTTGAGGAATTAGCTGTAAATGCCAGTGTTCAAAAAAGTAGCAAAAGAAAGGCGTCATCCTGAAAGTTTCTAGGCATCAACCCAATATATCAGTTGAATGTCTTGGAGCAGTGAAGTTCAGCTGATAAAGTAGTTTCTCTGTAGTTTTACTACTTTGAATGCTTAAAATGTCTCTCTTTTTTTGTTTCCTTATTCAATATGTCTGTGAGAAAACTTCGTAGCAAAAAAGGTCATTTTTAAAGCATTTAAATGTAAACGCTTTCAAATTATGTAGAATATTTTGCATTTATAAAGAGATACACCACACAAATGTTCTTACAAACTAATAATGATTTTTTTTTTTTTTTTTTGCTGCCACAGATTACTCTAACAACCATCGGCTATGGAGACAAGACACCAAAGACATGGACAGGACGGATGCTGTCCGCAGGGTTCGCACTCCTGGGTATTTCCTTCTTTGCCTTGCCTGCTGTAAGTATTTTCCCTCTCTGTGTGTGTGTTTTTTTTTTTTTTAATGGTATTTATTTCATGGATTTGGTGCCGATGAAAACAGTGAAAGGACTGTGACTGTGCTGAGTTTTGAGTAACCTTCAGTAACGGTAAAAATATAACATATGTACTTCATGACCTCTCGTTTTACATATTTTGGACGCATCTGTGGTTCTGCGTGTACCAGATTTGAAACATTTAAGCTTCTTTTGTTTATTAATGATTGGAGTGTGTGGTTTTGTACACTTAAAGTTAAGTCATCAATACAGGAAAATGGCAAAAGCGACTGAAATGCCTTACTTTTTGCCACAAATGAACTGAATGTGTCTATATTTTTTGATTTAGTTTAAGGAAAATACTGAAATCTATGTGTATATGAGAGAGAACCAACTGATGCATGTCTCGTCAGGGTATTCTGGGCTCAGGCTTTGCCCTGAAGGTCCAGGAGCAGCACAGACAAAAGCACTTTGAGAAGAGGAGGAACCCTGCAGCCTACCTCATCCAGGTAAAGTTTGAATTTCTTAGGGACCCTTTTCCTGAATCTGTTCTTTAAAATCTCATCCGTGGTAACAAAACCTCTTCATTGCCATGTGCAGCACAAGAACTGAACCAGGACTGGAACTGGTTTGACTAAAGAGGAGCAAAAGTTTACATTATTGTGCAAAAGTATTCACATTACATTCCGTCATGCTACAACCATTATACTGCAGTATATTTATTGGGATTTTATTTGCTAGGCCACAGGTGTCAGCATCCAGTCTTTTAAGGGCCCTGCAACTTTCAGATGTGTCTCTGCTTCTGCACACTTGAATCAAATAAGTAGTTCATTATACGTCCTCTGAAGAATTTAACGCTGGGCTGAGAAAGTAACATTGATTCATGTGTGATTCATGCAGAAAACCGATCCTCAACGACTCCGGATCAATCCGGTCTGACGTTCCTTTATAGACCAGGGCAAAGTAGTGCATATTTGTGAAATAGAAAGAAAACAGTTTTTAAAAATATGTTGTATATTAAAAAAAAGAACTACTAACTGTGGCATCCAGTTCCATTCAATCCCTGTAATAGGACGTTTCTACAAAGTATTGAGTCTCTTTTTTCAGATTTTCATTGGTGAAAAAACTGTTGAAACTAGACGCCATCTTCCTTCCACCGTTCTGTACCACTTTGAGCTGCATTACAAGAAATCCCAATACTCTACATTGCAGTTTGTGGCTGTAATGACAAAACAATGAAAATAATAATAATAATAAGAAGAATGTTGCAAGGTATTGTACCTTAATATCTGAATTTTAATGAATGTGATTTTTAAACATGTTTACTTTTTCATCCTCCAGCTTCTCTTTTTTCCATCCTAGACCTTTTTGGACAGTAAATCTCATTCTCTCTAGCCGCCTCCATCTTCACCCAGGGGTAGCCTCTAAAATCTGTTTTTACACACATTCTTCCAAAAAATACACCAATCTTCTTCCCTTTACTTCTTCCTCTCCTCTTCACATTTCCCCTCATGCTTTCTTTTCTTCTTTGCTCTCCTCTTTTGCTCATACGTCGTCTCTTCATCTTGTGCATCTCACTGTTACACCAGGCTGCGTGGCGTTATTACTCCACTGACAGGCCCTATCTGGATGCCACGTGGCGGCACTATGAGAGCCTCCTGCCAATCAACAGGCATGTATCCATGCCTGACCTGCATCCGGGGCCAGATGTGTGACACACCTGTGTGTTTTTCTTTTTTTTTTCTTTTTCACTAATCACCTGTCTTCATTAGTTTTATCATTGTCCTGATCTACTTTGTGCTCGTCTTTATGGTGCCCTCTTTGACCCTGATTTACTTGTTTGTTTTTTTGCTTCGTATTTACCCTTATTTCGGGTGGGGGGGTGTTTTCTGTTTGTGTTCTGCATGCAGTGTGTTTGGCGTAGTTATGCAGCTGATGAGAACTCGGTTTCCGTTGCTACCTGGAAGCCTCACTTGAAGGCGCTGCATACCTGCAGCCCTACAAAGTAGGTACAACTATGACAGCTGATGTCTATATTTGGTGTTTTTGTCACACTCTCTCTTGGATTTCTGATTTAAGAAGAATTACTTTTGTTGCAGTCGAACGTATATTACATATTTCCCATATCAGATTTATTACTCAGCCTTCCATAATTATTGATCCTCCATCTATCTTTTATTGCATAAACCTAAACTTACATCCAAAAGTCAATTTGAATCCTAAAATCTCAAGCAACAATCCCTTCTCACCACTACCGCACCAATCAATCTTTGAATTTGAGGTTCTTCAGCTCTCTTAAAATAAAACGGCACAAGGTACAGTCTTCCTGTGTCTGTTGCTCAGAAGAGCAAAATTTAGTAAACAAAAACAGGAGACTGTTATTAACAAGGGAAGAAGAACGCAAAGTGAATCCCAGTACAACCTGATGGAGCTGTAAAGGTTTTTAAAGTAGTAGCCACATAAACTGCTATGACAAGTTTGAGCCTGGAGTTGTTTTAGGATGTCATAAACTGATTGATTCTGTCTGGCTCAGCATCTGAAATCCCTGGGTGAATGTTAATCTCCATTCCTCCATTGTTCGGGGAGTCGTCTGTTGTGATTAAGATACTCAATGTTCGTAGCCTTTCTGCAGAACCCCATTTTAATAAAAGCTGACCCGTCCCTTTAAAGATGGGGAACAATAATCCGTCTGTAGAAGAGTTATTGGACGTCTCTGTTCGCTTATCAATTCTGGTCTGTCTTGTGTAATGGTGTCAATAAAAAGATGTTTGAAAAACCTTAAAGCAAGAAACAAGAACTTATTTTATGACATTAATATCTCAAAAAAAGAAAGGCCCATTTATTATTCAGATGTGTCTGTTCACCCAAATGTTTCGCTGACTTTTCCAGTGAAACTATTGTTGGAGCATAAAATGGGCATTTATAAAGACATGAGTTAAAAAAAGAGAAGAAACATTGACTAGTGAAAAAACACAACTTTCTCCTTCTCAAAGAATATTTTTGTTTCTTTTTCCCATTTGCATGCTGCAGTAGTTAGTGTGTGTTTTGCTATTTTATTTTTCTTTCTGAGATGCATCCCAGTAATTAGTGTGTTGCCTTCTGTAAATTATGAGTACTTGTAAAGGCTGCAGTTGCTGGAACAGTGCCTCGGCAAAAAAACGTTTCTATCTTGCTGATTCTAAGAAACACATTGTTGTTTTTGCAAGTTTTAGTTTTCTACTAATAAATCTTGAGTGCAAAGGTTTTGCCCTACCCCCCAGCTTTCGACACCCACTGGTTTCAATACATCATACCAATTGTTACATCTACATCCAGTTTGTCATGTTGGCTAGAAAAGTACAAGCTGAGCTCCCCACAAATAGAAAGCACCATCAAAAGTAGGGTTCAGTGCTACATCAATTGACTCAATATGTGGGCTAAAATCTTAAGAACCATTAGAAGATGAGGAAAGTATCCGTTTATGTAGTTAGTTTGTAATTAGATCTCCAGCTAAGCCCGACTACCATAGACTTTTTTTTTAACACGTCAAAAAAGACGCCACTAAAATGAAACTATCACCACATTAACTTACAATGAGAAACAGTTGATAGTTTCCCACATTATTTACTGAAGTTCAGTAAATAATATTAATATTTTTTTCCAGACATGAGCGTTCTGAAAGATTTTCATTCTGTGTAAAAATAAATTGTTACCAATGGCTAAATTCAGTTCATATTTCATTCATTCAAAATGCGGCATCATTAGCTGTAACTGCAGGCTCTTCCATTAGACTAAAATATGCAAAAACACCATTTTTCTTTCTTTTGAGCTTTGTTATTATTATTATCATTATTATTATTAATAGATAATTAGGAAAATATGTTAGAGAAGCCATGTATAAAATGTTTTCTCATATTTTTTTTCTCTCTTTTTCTCATCTGCCAACTCCAGGAAGGATCAGGGAGAGTCAACCACCAGGTTTGTACCTTTTTCACTGCAGATTCGCTGCTAGTTGGTGTTAGAAATTTGATTTCAGGACCGAGGATGACTCTGTGTAGTTGCCTTCTGCCCCAGCACTTAGCCATTACTGCCATTTATTTGTAACAATCAGAATAAAATATATATATATATATATATATCTTGCTGCCGCCATTATTTGAGACACCTCAATCAATATATTCAGCTGCAAACGAGACGGGATTCTTATATTGCCGTTATATTGATTGTATTTTTTTAACTTGGATGAAATGTACTTTTGGTACCAAACCCTGCAAAATCCTGCAGTCATGTTATTCTAGAATAAGGAAGGCGTTAAGTTTTGCAAATACTGATTTATTAAAGTACCCCGCTGATATGGAAGCACATTGTCATTATATTACTAACTTAATCAGTGCCATTGTTTGTATCTACTTTTTTCCTGATTTGGTCAAAGTTTTAACCATTGTTTACCTAACTTTATTTCCTCTTGTAAATTTTTATTATCAAGCATTTAAGATGGGGGCGGGAGGATATGAACTTCACATTTTATCGTAAAATGCTGTGGTATTTATTACAAAAAAGCAGTAATAAGCAGCAATAAAAAGTACTACAAACATGTCAATGCATAGAGTTCAGAGTCTTACAAACATAATCATTTCTGCTCAAATGATTATGAGTAGAAATGATTATGATGTGTCACTTGATCACATCAATTATATTAATTGGAACCAACTGTGCTGTTAAACAGTACTCATTAAATTCAGTCAGACTTTGACTCACAAACTCATCATTTATTAACACTTTCGTTGAACTGACAGTGGAATAATCATATTTCTAGTAGTACTGTCAGTCTGACAAATATCAACAAATAACCAGTTGTTGTTGTTGTCATTTATTGCAGGATGACCCTTTGTTTTTAATTATGACTGGGAAACAAAAATCCTGCTGACGGGACACAACTTACTGTTTCCCATCCTCATCAAAGAGAAATGATGTGCTTTGAAACTCTAATAGCCAGAAGATGAGGAAATACTCTGTACAAGTGATTAAATATCCTCAGGAGACTTAACTCTTTGTGTTTGTGAATGACTCATTCAGCACATCGTACAGTTCATTTTGACAAGTGCAGCTTGAAAGGAAACTATAAAAAGTTATTTTGAAAAAATGATTAGCTGTCATAATAAAAAAAAACCTGAAATCCCTCCTTTTGTCTTCATAAACAGCAATTTTAAAAGATTTATACAATTAGGAGGACTTGTCATGTGATTACATTCTTTTTGAAAAGTTATTTCTATGTTGCATGTTTTAAATGCATTTATTACAGTGAATAAGGGCAAAAATGCAAAGGCAACTTATTTGGTCTTCTACCAAATATTCTTAGTTGTTCTGCATTGTGTAACTTTATGCAGCAATCATACATTGGAAGACGTCACAAAGTTGATCTAATTAGGTGCAGAATTGCTTTCAATGATACATTATCTTCATATAAAAAACAGTTTTTGCTTAGATAAAAACTCCCTTTTTTCACACGAAGGTTTGGAGAATTTCATTGATCTTTCTGCAGTAACAGAGAGATCAAAAACACTTTCAGAAAAAAAACACTATCAGCCAGGCTGTGTTAACCGCATTGACACAACAAAGTTGATCTAATCAGAGCAGCTAAAGGCAGAGGGTAATGATATTTTAGTCCACTAAAAGCTGTTTTTACTCAGGCGCTCAATGACTCATTGGTGCTTCTGTTTGTTTAGTGCTTCATCTCAAAAACAATAGCGCCAAAAACATTTTTTTTTTATTTATTTTTTTTTTATTTGGGACAAAAATAAAACCTACCCAAACGCATATAAACATATTTGTCTTTTTCTCAGCGATTACTTGCCTCAGGTAGCCTTTAATTTTTTTTTTTTTATGAGCTATTCTTCTTTGTTTGTCTGTATTTATACAGCACATTTATCTAAAGGGTATGTATTAATGGTGTTGATGAATTTCCAGAATCATTATGGGAGGATAGCGATTAGGGCAGCAAGGCCAGTGTGATGTAATATGTTTTGTGTTTGCAGTTATGAAACAGAGTAAATGTTTGTCTGTGAAGAACCACAGCAGCACAGATGCCGTCACATTTGTTGTTCATAATGTGAAAGTCATTGAATAGGTAGATTAAAAAGCCTGAATCGTGCCCTGTGCGCAATATGCCGAAGCATCGGGATGGATAAGCCCAGGAGGGATCCAGAAACCTCTGCACACAGTGGGCTGCAACTGTATTACTTTATCCATAAAATAAATCCATAGAATATTATGCGCTTAGGAACAAAAATGCAGCACAGGCAATGCGTAAATGACAATGAAACAAGCAAATAGAGATTCACAAGACTCTGCAAAAAGGTTCCTGGCCTCATGCTGTGATTCAAGCACTTGTTGCCATGGCCTGCTGGAATTCACATGGTTAAAGGAGTGATATCGACATGAAGTGCATGAGTCACCAAATTGCAGCCTTTTTTGGACGGTTCTGCAGTAGATGTTAATTTTCCTCCACTAAGCTCCTGTTCTGCTCCCTCTAAATGCCAGCGCTCGGGATGCCGAAACATCAGCGCTGACTCCGCTGTTACTTTATTCTCGGTGGGGGCTTTTGTCATAAACTTAATTTATTTCTGTAATTTAATTCAGAAACGGAAGCACGTGCAATATGGATTCGTTGCAGACGGAGAAATGCATTTCAAGTGGTTTTCCGTTTGTGTAGATAATTAGGGTTAATGAAAATCACAATTGGCTTCACAGAAAATCGGATGGCAAAAGATAAAGAAAAGGTATTTTAAATACTAATGTATTATGTTGTGGCCTACAAAAATGTGCTTAGGACTCTCCAAGTATCTCCAACTAAACATTGGGTTTCTATACTGCGTTAGCGGCAAGTCATTGTCGTAATGAACCGAAATTAACACTTGTAGTATATAACTCTCTGTGCTATGAATTCATATAACTCGAATCTCTCTTTTCTGACAGTGGAAAAGGTAATGAGGTTCAAAGTCATTTTTCACACCTTAAAAAAACCTATCAAGTAACAAATCATCATGTGTCTATCTCTCCTTGGTTTCTAGTAAAATTCATAGTAATAAGCAGAAGCTACTGAGGAGTTATACCGCTCGGAAACATAGGTACACGGCATCTCTGCTCCCATGTTCCATGATGTGTTTTTTTTGTTTTGTTTTGTTTTGCTTTTTTTGGGAATGCTGACTAATTCTTGGTGCATGGACGTCCTTTGGAGGCTGCAGAGCCTCAGATAGGCCAGAGCAAGCTAGTGCTGCGGGAAAACATGAGTCGCTCTTAAAATAATAATTAGCCTTCCTTGATATGTGCCTGAGTGATGTGCCAGTTTGCTTGATTATATCCAGAAAATTGATGAAGAATTGTGCCGGGTTGCAGTCTCACCTGCAAATTTAGTAAATTAATCAACATTTATGAGCTTTTTCTTGAGTGAAATGTTCTTGCTTTTTCTGGTATCGTTTTTTTTTTTTTTCCTTCACTCACTTCTCTAAATCGAACTTACGCACTGCCTCACTTGATGTTTTCTTTTTTTTTTAATATTCACATTTTATTGTCATCAAATCCAATGAAAAAGATCACAAGTCACCATGACTAATTGCAAAATGTGCCTATGAAACCAAGCTTGAATAGAACTTATGAGAACAAAATATGCATTACTCCACAACCAAAAGTATTTTTTATAACTTTTATAACTTTTTTACGGTGCTATTTGGATACTTTTGCAGAAACAAAGTACTGATCTTTTAAATTAATTTGCTGACAATATGTTTATTTTATTCTTGAAAGCAAAATTACCATGTTTAATGCGTTGAACTTAGCCAATTTAAATAAATCCTGCCTGAGTTTGTTGCACTGCTCATGCTTTTGCATGTTGCTACTCTGCATTAAGCACACTCAAACATTCCCTGACCTTGTAAACATATGAAATATGTTTATGAAATATGTGAAAGTTTCACAACTTTCATATTGTATGAAACATATGAAAGAGAGAGAGAGCCAGACATTCCCCGTATCACAACCACAAGCATAAATGTGTTTTAATCGTTCATGGAGTGGACTAACACAAAGCATCATGTTATGGTAATATTTTCTAATTATGTAGAGATTTTGGAGTATAGTATGCTCTACTTTTCTAAAAACTAAATTAAGCAATGGAGAGACTTTGTTTTCCTTTGTCCACTTTTGTGTCTTGCTAACTAAGTTGTTCAAAACAAATACTTTAATATCATCACTGCACATCTGATACATCATCCCAAAGCAGAGCTAGCATTTTATATATAGGACCCCCATCAATATGCATGTTTGTCTTTTCCTCCTGCCCTCCAGTCATTTACTCTTATCTCAGAAAAAGCTCTAAATGACATAAATTCTACGCAAATAAGCAAAACTTTACCAAAAGATGAGTCGGATTTCTGTTACTGAGCTGAAGCTTGAATTATTAACCAATGTTTTTCTGTCTTTCACTTCCAACATCATCACCTTTTTTCTCTTTCACACTCCAAAATACCTCTGTCTGCACAACTCCTCGTCCTCCAACTTCAGCCAAAAGTTAAGCTTCAAAGAGCGTGTGAGGATGGCGAGCCCCCGCGGTCAGAGCATCAAGAACCGCCAGTCGTCCTCTGTGAACGACCGGCGTTCTCCAGTGGCCCACGGTGGCACAGAGAGCACCAGTCCTGCCAAGGTTCAAAAGAGCTGGAGCTTCAACGACCGCACGCGCTTCAGACCTTCGCTCCGGCTCAAGAGTCAGTCCCGCTCCACCACTGACGGTCAGTGACACCGCACACCCACCGAATGTTTCCCTCAGAGCTTTACGGCATTGGCTTTGGCTGTGCCAATCAGAAATCACAGAAGGATTCATGCTTCAGAAAACGTAAAACAAAAGAACAAAAACAGCAAAAAAATAAAAAATAAATAAAAAAATCACACTTTACAGAGCTCTAGTATGAAAAGCGTTAGGCCAATCCATTCAGCAAGTTCCCAGGGCAGTTTGTTTTTCATGTAGGGCAAGATTGGTCTGGATAGATTTCCTCCTCTGATAAAACAGAACCATCATTTGAGAAATATTATTTATTTACTCAGGTTTTCTTTATATCACATTAAAAATGTATTCCATTAATCAGAATTATTAAATTTAGCCAAAAAGACAAAACAGCAGAAATCTCTTTAGTTTTTGTTTTATAAGTAGGTTATTTGGGAGAATTTATCAGTAGTTAATATCTTATCTGCAGAACTTGACAACTTGAAATTAAATAAAGAAAAAGAAATTTGGACCATACATGTGTTTTAATAGCCACCCAAGACAATTAAATAATAGAGTGGTGCCAAGACAAGATATGTTTCTGTTATTTATTTGAAGATTTCTGTCTGTGTAGTGATTTATACCAAAGGTGCCTTATTATTACACAGCTGTCACCTTTCCCGGTTTTGTTTAATTATGCCTATCTTGGATTTAGCTAAGAGTTTGTGAGCTAGTCAGTTAAGAATCTATCAACTACAGTTAGGTGTAGTTGATAGAAATTTCATAACTAATCACCTGCTTTCACTTTTAATGATTTTTTTTTCATTGCCTAATGTTTCTGCCTGGTTACACTCAACATGTCCTACTTTGCAATATGGACTTCAGTTGGAAGGTCATTGATGTCAGACCAGCTGTTTGTTAGAAAAGTGTAAATAAGCATACATTAAAAATGCGGCAGTGCTGTGAAACCCTTTTACATAATCAGGCGTCAGACTTTTTAAGCTGTCATTGCAGACGTCAGAAATCCAGTAATGGATTTAGTTTTTAATCCTAAAAAATGTTTAAAATTCATTTAAATCTAAAAGCTTCATCTTGTTTTTGTTTCTTTCTTTAAAGTAGAAGCATGCAGTAAGAGAATGTGTCACTCCAAGTGTTGATTTCATCTGTTTCCCCACCTTATCCAACACAACTGCTGTCCCAAACCACGGCAGACAGCTGAGGAGAGAGAATCGGCTGTCTCTCTCTCTCTGTCACCCTTTCACCAGTTGTTGTATGTTGGACAGCTGGATAGATGGGGGTGTTATTTCAGTGACTATCTGGGCTGTCTGAGCCATACAGCTGGCTAAATGGAAACAAATTCCAGGTTAGTCAAAATCACGCTGATTAGGTCGTTCTCAGTGTCAAAATATTAAATATTTTCCTTTAGATGCGACTCAATTATAGACAAAACCAATATTTATGCGCCGCACTACAAGCTGTTTGAGTTCACACACATGCTCTGTACTACTACAGTCCTTATATTTGAGTCTGCAGTCAAGCTCATGACCCCTTGCTTACTTCACCAGGATGTCGTAACTCAGAAGGCCCATGAACAGATCTGCTGTTGACGATAAATCTTAAAGGCACACAGAGGCCTTTTTCTTTACAACTAGTCCGCAGTTCCAGAAGCTTAAAAATCGGTTCTTCCCTCTTTCCCTCTCCAATCACTTTAAATCCTCCTGTCATCATTATGAGACACATAAAGAGGCACCAAAATGCTTTGTTCCTGGACCCAGCACCTATATACAAATCAGGATTAGGGGCTTGATGAGGTAACCTCAGGTTCAGCTGCACAAGCAGTGCATGATAGCTGCTGTTGTGTTCATAGGTTTCCTGCTCGTTGTACAAGTAAGTGGACAGTCCTTCTCTTCTGCCTGTTTCATAAGCAGCAGACTCCGCTGTGACGGGGGACGATGCCTTTGATGACAAGGGCTGCCACTGTGAGATCTCCGTGGAAGACTTGCTGCCCTCCGTCAAGACCGTCATCCGAGCTGTCAGGTTTGTCAAAGGAGATTGCGCTTTTCTTTTTCCATCCAGCTAATGCTTTCCCCTTTTGTTCTGAATGCAAACAAAGCCTGATTGCAGCACACTGCGGTCTAGCAGCTCCCCTGATTGTCTGCACTCAAAGGACTAAAATGACCGGAAGTCGTTCTTTTTTTAGTTTTCTTTTTTGGGGGCTGCATAGCCTCCGTGGCATAGTTTATATGCAGGAAGTATAGTTAGTACGGTTTTAAACAATGCAAACTTGTGCATGATTAGTAAAGACACAACGGTGCCTAGCAAATGTATTTGAAATCACTAAAGTTTCATAAATGTAGTTTACAACATTGCAATGTTTCAATGGGATTTGAGGTAACTCGAAAATGATCTATTGTTTATGTTTTATCTTATACAAATAAAAAATGTAAATATATATTGATAGTTTGTAGAACCACCTTGACTGCAATTAAAGGCACAACGAGTTGTCAGTTTTTTTTTTGTATGTCTCAATCATCTTGTCAAATCTAAAGTTTTATCCATTCTTCTATGATTGAGTTTAAACTCAGTCAGAATGGATGGAGATCATCTGCAACTATATCCAAGTCTTGTAACAGATTCACAAAAACAGTGTTTTTTTTATTAAATTGTTTTTGGCTAAACTATGCTTTGATATAACCATATAGCTCTGATATGGTTCTGGCTGTTTTAAGGTTGTCATCCTGCTGGAAAGTGAACTTAGGCTTTTGAAGCCTCTAACAGGTTATCTTACTGGCATGCCCTTTTTTTTTTTTTTTTTTTTTCTTATTCATCTTCCCATCAACTCTGACCAACTTCTACTGAAGAAAGATCTGCCCACAGCATGATGCTGCCACAAACACTGTGGGGTGGGTTTGTTCTGGGTCAAATGCATTGTCAGTTTTCTTCCACATATAGTGTTTTGCATGCAGACCGACAATTTTTGATCTTATTGAACCAGAGCATCTTCTTCCACATGTTTACCGTGTCGCCTGAATGGTTTTGTGACAAACTCCAAGCAGGACATTAATGGCTTTATTTCAGCAATGACATTATTTAAAATGACCAGATTTGTGGAGTGCAGGGCTATTAGTTATCCTGTTGCTGTAAATCTGTGCAACTCCTCCAGAGTTTCCAATGGGCCTCTTGGCTGCTTCTCCGATAAATGTTCTCAAGATCACTTTAAAATATTACAAAAGTAGAAACAAAGTACAGCAAACTCAGAAGGTGACATAGAATTTTTGCTCAATATTTTTTGGCTTTTTTTTTTTTCTTATCCATTTTGGGGGCAATTCTTGTCTTCAGTTGTCTTTGGGCGGGAATCAGTGTGTAGCCAATGCATGAACCTTGAATCTTGTTGCTCTCAGGCTGCAGTAATACCCACTGTTACCATGTGCACACAAGTCACATCTTGCTGAACGGTTCTGTCCACATTCTTCATTTTTTGGGGGCATTTTCCTTACGTACTAATTATGCAATATTCAAATATGTTAGCAAGAAGGAGCTTGTTCCTAAAATGTAATTTTTTTTCACACCTTTTGTATCTGCTTAATGTTCATCTTTGTATAACTTTTCTCCTGGGTTAGGAGAGAGCACCAAACCTAGGAGCTCTCTTCTTGGTTTACATTCTGTTGCCTGCTGGCTTTTCTTTTCTGAAGACTTATATTTATTCTCAGCTCAGCCCTGAGGCACCACAGATAAATAAACCCTTTCACAGAAATTGTGTAACATGCACACAGCTAAAATACGCAAGCACATCTACACACGATGCTTTTAGAAAATTTAGGAGGAAAATATTCAGGTGCTCAGACTATTGTAGACAAACTAATGGACTGGATTTAGCATGTCTCATTCAAACGGACGGATACATTTTATTTTATAGCCTTGAGGTGTAGCAGCAGATTCTCCTTTCTGATTGGGTCAGAGCGCCCTCTTTTGACAGAAATTTGAAAATGTCTCTGCTTTTTCCTGCAGGATCATGAAATTTCACGTCGCAAAGAAGAAGTTTAAGGAGACTCTGCGTCCGTATGATGTCAAAGATGTGATTGAACAGTACTCTGCCGGTCACTTGGACATGCTGTGCCGCATCAAGAGTCTGCAGACCAGGTAGGAAGAAAAACTGACTGCTGTAAGCTGTCATTCCTGAGGCCTCTGAGCTGATGAATGTGTTTCTGTGTGTATTTATGAGAAAACATATTGTGAATGCGCATAAAGATAATGATATGATCTATTTTCTTTATGCACACGTGTACCTCTGTGTGTGTATATGTTTGCTTTCCTCACAGGCTGGACTTGATAACTGGCCCAAAGACCCTGAGCACTGCAGCTAAGACAGTTTCCTCCCCGTCTTTGTCTGTGTTTTGCAGCCAGGGGAGGAAAAACTCCATCAGGGGGTCAGAAGTCCCCCCATAGTCCTTCACTGTTTTCCATCTCACATGGGTTTACCTCATATGACACTCAGTCAAATCATGCAAACAAATTAAAGTCTTTTATCAGCCAATCATAAGCAGAGATTAATTAATTAACTAATCAGCCAGAGATCTGCAATCTGATCTGTGTTTGCCAGATCAGATACAGGAAAAAAAAAAAAAAAAAAATTCTGCCCTATTTCTTAATTACGTCAAAACTAACAATAGTTTTCTTCCTTTAAATGAATTCATTATCAAAGTGGATTGATTTATGATTTTTGTGCGTGGAATTATATTGACCTGGAAAGACATGATTGGCGCATTTCCACTTTTAAGTGTTATGCATTAAAAGTAATTCCAGAATCTCCATTTATCTTTTTTAATGTTGTGAACAAGGGTCTTCTGAGACATTGAGAGACTTAACCTCTACGTAAAAGGTGTTCAATTAAAGCTAAAAATCTTCTCATGCAATATGTTTGCTACTTTACTACCCCAGTCTGACACAAGGCTTTAATAGTGGCTTTGAATTGACTGAGTTGTTAGGGGCAAGCAGATCTTTTCTTTTCTCTGTCCTCTGATCCGCTGAACAAACACTAACGATGTAATTCCACTTCTGCCTCGGGTTGAAATTCTGGCGTTCCTCAGGTGTCTGGAGCTTCATGCCACAGCATGTCACAGTCACACACACACAAAATTTACCTTCACACAGCAAATATGATGTCAATCCTGTACTAACACTGACGACATCTGTCGCAGACTTGGGTGCAGTTACTGAATTTAACTTGCACTTTTGAAATTACTTTTGTTTTTTAAATTGATATGTAAGGAAACTACTATTAACTATGCCTCGGGCCTGTTAGTTGGCGCGTGGTAATGTTTTGCATCAATTTAAACAATCCCTAATTGAAGCAAGTCAATAAAATGCATTTATGTGATGTGACTTTAGAAACCACACACACTCATGTTAATCAGAAAACATGAACCTCACAACAACTGGTGGAGGAAAACCGCATCTCTTCAGTCTAAATGTTGGGATCCTTTGGGTGTCCTTGGTTTTCTCAGGCTTTTTTTTGTTTTATTAGGTACAGTTTCTGTAATTGTAATGGAATTAAAAGCATCATGTTACTTGTTAGATGAAAAGCGAAACAGAAGAGCATTCTGTCAATACTTGAATGGAAGTTTTGGCATCACCATCATCACATTTACATTTTTCTTTTCGAAAGTTTCATCTTCCGACAAAAAAGGGGAAATTTTAACTAAAAGTAAATATATGGAGAGGACTACTAACTATATGAACATTGCATTACTATTGTCTCAAGCCCTTTCTGGAGTTAATATTCCTTTTCCTAACATTTCTTTCTTCTGGGCTTTGGGTTGCGTTTTATTTTCCTGATAATTTTTCTTCCTGACAAATTTTTTCTTTGTCTGCTTGTTTTTGTGTGTGTCCGGTGTTCATCCAGGGTGGACCAAATCCTCGGGAAGGGACAGGTCACTCTGGACAAGAAGATACGAGAGAAGTTGCTGTCTGATGGAGACATGTTGGAGGACATGAGCATGCTGGGTCGTGTCTGTAAGGTGGAGAGACAGGTGTGTGTGAAGCTTTGGTGATCAACATATTGTCTTTCAGTGAACTCCAGTGAGATGTTAATAGCAGTGCATTTCTGCAAAAAAACAGAAAGTTCATTTAATTTACTTACTTGGTTCAAAAGCACATTTTTTTAACCTTCGGTGCTGTCGCCTCTTTTTCTTTTCTACACAGGTTCAGTCAATCGAGTCAAAGTTGGACTCTCTGTTGGACATTTATCGTCAGGTTTTGCGTAAAGGCTCCTCTTCGGCTCTCACTCTCTCTTCGCTGCCCCTGTTTGAGCTGGAGCAGACCTCTGACTACAACTCTCCGGTCTTTAGTAAGGACCTCTCCGGCTCCACTCAGGTCAGCTGTGGCGGAGCGCTTCCCCCGAGCGGCTACGCCACACGCTCATCAACCAACTCCCAGCTCTCGCAGGGAGGGCTTCACCTCATTCTAGCGCCTCAGAACGAACTCAACCTTAATCTCCACGCCTCGTCGTCCACGCCTCCCTCGGGCCTCGCATCTTCCCCTTTTAGCCCCTCGCCGCTGCCTCATTATCATCATCATCTGCAACATCATAAACAGGTTCAGGCCACGTCACCTGAAAGTGGCACCGACGAGGCTGTGGGGAGCTCCCCCACTGTCCTCACCCCGAACAGTACCAGCAGTTCTGGGGGCCGGGGAGTAGGAGATGAAGGCTTTCCTCTTTTGGCAAGGCTTCCGCCGCCCCCTTCCAGACAAACCGCCGGCCCCGGCAAACTGATCCAAGGGACCTCTAGAGAGACTTCTCCTGAAATCAAGAGCTTCTGCAGAGGTCTGCATAGCCACACGGAAGACAGTAACGTTGGGAAGGACCTTGGACTTGAGTTTGGATTGAGCACATTAGGGCAGCAGCTACAAGGGAACACGAATGGTACTGGCAGGCTTAACGCAAAGGAAGAAGGCTGCTGGAGGAGGCATATGAGTCTCGAGCTGGAGCCACTCGTGCCATCAGCGCCAGGTTGTTGCTCGAGGCCCATCCATATGGACCAGGGAATGGGCAAATCCATGTCAGTGCAGGACCTGGTACAGGTAGGTCCTGTTCATGATGCACACCAAAGCCACAGTCTTTCATCTCCAAGTCCAAGTACAAGCAGTGACTCTCCAACAGGCTTCAACAGTTGTTGCCAAGACCTTGGGGGAGAGAGTGGCGGTACAAGAAGAGGATGTTGGGGCGAGGAGGACCTCTTTATCAGTGACAGGGACATGGAGGGGCAAGGGTTCGACTTTTTGTCACAGGGGACATCTGAGGCTCGCTCGTTTTCTTCTGAGCGCCTGAGGACAGCAGATAGAGCGGGGGCAGGGACCCAGGACTCTAACCGGAGCCTGGCGGGTGGTCCGTCATCGTCAGCCTCCACTGGCAACGTCGAACTGCTGAACATGCCGCACGTACCGCACGTACCGCACGTACGGCTAAAATAGACCCACTAAACATTTGGAAGAAACACAAATCTCACCTCAGAGACTGTTTTTTTTTTTTTTTTTTAATCTTTTTTGGAGGGGAGATTGACGGGTGGGTGGGAATTTCACATGGGGTCTTGTCTTCTTTTGTTTATTTTTTATCTCGATTCTCTTGATAGGATTCTGTTTTTTTCATACAGGCTAATCATGTTGGCATGAGTTACTCTGTGTTTTAATGTGTGTTTGATGGATCTGAGATAAAAGACGAATGCCAAAAAAAAAGGAGAAAACGATTTTTGAATTAAATGAAGTAGTGGATGGGTCGATGTGCTAAGTAGCATGAACTGCATGTTTTCAGTAAAGCACAGATAAGAAACTACACCTACAAGCATGGCCACCCACCACCTTAATAGTTTATTGTGAGTTAAAAAGCTTGTTGTGGTCCATGACAGGTGAGAAACGTGGGCATTTTTTTTTTTTTTTTTTTAATAAAATCATAACTAGGAAGCCAGATCTCTGCAAGTAATTGATCTGACCTGTGTTCGTTCTGTGGGTCACAGGAAATACATATTTCATGAAATCCACACATTTTAGGCCTCTTTTTGAATCATGTTCATTGAACAATCCAGTTACAAAGTGTGCACATCTCTGATAAAATGCTAGCTTTTTGTGTTGATAAAAACTGAGACCATAAAAAATTCCTTTCTGAAAATTTCAACAGTGCAACTGAAAAAAAACCCAACATTTCTACTTCTGAGTGAAAATCTAAAACATTTCCTGGTGCAAAATTGTGCACACCCTCTAAACTTTTAAAATTTAGAGGTTAAAAGTCCCTTGATTCAGTTTCAATTTGGAAGAACAGGCTAAGGCCAAAAAAAAAATAAAAATGATGGTCCAAATCCTTCACGTGTCTGAAAGAAAACCTAAGATATAGAGAGATGTCATTTTTCAGCATCACAGTCAAACCACTGCACATGCAAATCAACAAATGAATGACTGCTCTTGAATGAAACCTTTTGGAATAGCCTAGCAGAAGTCCTGAACTCAAAAAGAGTATTTGTAGGATCATCTGTAGACGGTTGTAGACAAGAAATGTTCTCACGGTCTGACATTTCACATTTGAAGACTTTTTCAACTTAGAGCAGGCCTGCGTTGTTGTTTTCTCAAGCATGGCATGAATCAAATTCATCTAAGTATGTTTTATATTTCTCCTCTGACGTATTTGTTTTTCAGTGGCATTGGTCGGGATATAAGTGAAAATACATTGGGACACATTTTTGAAAAGATTCTTCATGGTCTCATTTTTTTACATCACAAAGTACCCTGCAAAAATAATGAGTGGGACTTTACCTTTATGTCTTCACTGTGCAATTTGTAGTGAGCAACTTACTTCAGAATCTCCTGAGCAAAACTGAACAGTAGTAAGCAGGCCTTCTTACATCAAAATGTAAGATCTTTTTTTTAATGGCATTTATTAGCAGTTTTTTTCTAAAAACCCTTCATGAATTCATTCATGCAAAACACAGGAGCAGAACTGCACAGCCAATCTCCATAACAGAACAACACACAATCTAACTTCATGCTATACTGCGACAATAATTGTTAATGTCTGCCAATGTCTAAGCTCCATCCTTCATACATGCTTTTTTCAAATGAGTGGGGGGTTTCTAGGACACTTGAAGTAATTATGCCTTGTCCATTTTACTTCAGCTCTGTGCAGCTCCTCATGATGACGTAAATGTCATCATTCCCTGAAGATGCTGTGAAAATATTCTGAAAGTGTGATTTTGGGCATCAAATACATATGTATTTAATTAAAAAACATCTTTCAGATAACAGTTTCAGATAACAGTTTCACACACACACACACACACACACACACACACACACACACACATATATATATATATATATATATATATATATATATATATATATATATATATATATATATTGTAGAACTGTAGAACTACACCCATGTGGACAGGGAGTAGTTTTTATGACCAGATAGATGTTACACAGTAACGACGGTTCAGCAGTGGAGTGAAACATTTGTTGAATGTCATTTTCTGGCTCACAACTTCTGCTAGAAAATATGTGACGTTTTTTTTTATTTCAGACACAGATACCCTTTAGCTTTTTGCCATCTGCTTTAAACTAACTCTTGATGGAGATTATTTTCGGCTTCTTGAACTGGACTTGAGATCCGAATGTGTATCTTATTGATATTAACTTGAGGTTTCTTGAACTGCTGAGCAGTGAAAATACAACTTACCACTATTTTTCCCTTTCTGTTGCATGGAGTAGACCAAGATGCAGTGATGCAGTGACAAGGCCTTATTATTTTTTAAATGTTTTTACTAAAGCATCCAAAGCCTGATTAGTTCATGAGCACCTTGGTACATTTTATAGATTTATATTAAATACTTTGAACCGGGAATAAAAGCTACAATCCTGTATCATTTTTAAGTAAGTAAAATTAAAAAATGTGTGCGTGTGTATGAGAGTGGAAAGGATCATACCCTTCTAGTCTGTCAGTTTAACAGAGCATTGCTTATATCTGATTATACTTATCCTCTTAGCTGTAATATGGATTTAAGCAAAAACAACTTGAAAGACAAAAATGTGTCATTACATGTGCTACCATTGAACAAAAATGATCAACTCTTTGTAAAAAAAAAAAAAAAAAAAAAAAAATTAGGAATGCAGCTGCAGGATCTTATAGAAAAACCAAAGCAGTAATTATTACTTAAATGTTGTTTTTAATTTAAAACACACATTATATTTTTCTACGTTTTAAGCATGATAAAGCTCACCAATATTGACGGAAGAAAAATAAATGTGGAATGTGTCTCACATTTGCAATTTGGCAAGAATAAAAAGTTAATTTGTTAAACTATATTGTAAGAAATAAACTAAAGTATTTATTGTTTCAGTTTAAGCTCTAATTTGGCCTTTCTAATTTTGACAGATTCCTTTTTTTTTTTTTTTTTGCTGTGGAATATAATGCATAAAAATATGCTGCAGGTTCTTAGATGAAGGGAGCAGTTCAGCAAACAACGTCAGCTAAAGAAAAAAACATCGTTATATCTGCATGACTGATGTGCAGCTTTCCACAAATCTACTATAGTTATTGGGCTCTCCATTTTTTTCCATTTTGCTTTCCACAGTTTCTAGTTTTACTAAGTAACTGTGATATTAGAAAATAAAATAAAAAAGACTTGCAAGAATGGCTGTAAAGTGTCAGCTTAACTGTAAAAATATGTAACTAGTCCAAAAAAAAACGTTACACTACTTAGTTATGATGCAGCTTTAAAAGTATGTTTTCAAAGTGAAGTGTAACATATAGTATGTATGAAATGGAAATGTGAGGTACGCTTCTTTGCACAGCACATTCTACCTTTAGTTAACAGCATAATCATGTTTTCTTTTTTACCGTTTGTGTGATCATAAGTTTGCTCTCATCTTACGTCTCAAATGATTTTCCCATTGACATTTAAATGTATTTTGCATGAGGCTTTCATGTTCAAATGGATCTTTAACTGAAAAAGATGACAAGTTTCTTAGAACTTTAAGTATTTCGGTTTTTAAACATCTGGATCAAGAGCATCCAAACTCTTTTTTTTTTAAGGTCTACAAAATATTCATACAATCCTGTATTCTGGTGCCTTGCTTTTGTGATACATCCATGTTTATTTAGTTTTCCGGAAGGTGTGTCTGATTTGTGACAAAAAGTCGCTGCACATTTCAGGTCCTCTATTTGTGGCATAGTACTTTTTTTTTTCTTTTTTTTAATATAATTTTGCAAGTGGGCATAAAAATGGGCAATTGCCATGTTAAGGTTTTGTCTTATTTTTTAATTTATTTAAATTATGTCCACATATTTACACATTAGTAATAACCTTGGTTAGTTTAAGGAAGCCTGCAATGTAATAACAATGCAAATGAACTCTTATTCTCAATCAAGAATAAAAGAAATTCTTCAAGAAGCTTTGTTTTGTGTTTTTCATTGCAACAAACATATAGCGGTTTAACCCTACAAGTCCAAACATATCACTTTTGATTTCAATATTTTGCAGACCTAAGTGGCTTTAACAATTTTGTCACTTCCCCCCAAGTAAATCAATCAACAAATATATTTCAGTCTCAAAAAAATTCAAACTGCACATATAAAAACTTGTAAAATAGTTTCAAAACTTATAAAGTTGAATATGAATGAAAAATAAAAGTTGTTTAAGTGTGCCCTGCATGCAAAAATATGTCTTCTTCCACATTATTAGACATGAAATTTACATACATTGCATGAATAGATGCAGCATGTAATGTTTCTTAACTGATTAAATGAAGCTAAACTTTTATTTAATTAGGTTAGTTCAAATTACCAAAATAATTTGAAAGTCCACTCAGTAAGAAAGATGTCTATACTGCAAAAGCTAGATTATAATTTGAACATGGACTGAAAAACAAATAGCTTAATTTTTGGAAAGATGTATTGGTCTGATGAAACCTGAGCTACAGTTTAAGAGAAATACACATAAACTTCTAAATTTGAGGAAAGTAAAAAACTGGAAAAAAGGGAATAGTTCATTATTTGGCAATATGCAAATGGGAAAAAATAGTTATCCTACCCTAAACGTTTATTCTAATTCAATGTCTAACAGGGAGAAAGAACTGGTTGAGTCTGTTAATGAAGTGTATGTAAACATTGGGTTTTAACTTTATATGCAAAAACTAAATACATCAACAGTAATAGAAAAAACAGAAGAAATTATGTGACGTTTCAATAAAAACAGTTAAATTATTCTATTTTTTACAAATAAGATTTTTCAAACAATTATTTGATACGTCAGGCTTTACGGAGTTAACAAAAACACCAGAAGCAAACATTGTTTTTAAAGATATTTTACTTTTACGAACATATTCTAACAAGTACCGGCATTTAAGTTGCGCAAACTTTACAGTAACGTGGATCAGAGCTACTTTAAGGAAGTTTATATCAGGCAGGATGTTTAGTTGAACTATTTAAGTTTCCAAAGCTGGTTTCACTGAGGTGTCACAAGCAAACATGCAAACATCCTGTATATTTCTAGCTGCTGAGTTTAAACAGTTTTAAAGCTTGAACAAGTAACATTACTTGTACAGAGACCACAGAGAAGAACATCTCTACTGTGTTACTACAGAGCATCTCTAGACAAACTAGCAGGATACATTTAACAACGGCGCATCTTTGAACTGCGATGCAAAGCCTTAGTCATGTTCAAGCACGAAACAAGATACGATCAAATGTACGTATAACAGTTAGCTAACGTGTTAATCTATAACTGAAACAATTTTTTTTTCCTTCGTCTGCTTTTGCGATGCATTGTGATAATGGACCAGACGTTTACTATGGTGTGCAAATGGAGCAAGATGTCTGCGGGTCTTCTGCCTCTCTGAACGTTTTGGGCAGCAGCCCAGCACAATGTTCATTTGGCCTTCTGTGCCTTCTGTGCAGATTTGGTGATTTTACCGCTCGTAGGGGCTTTCTTTTCCACACCTTTTATCACTCCCACCGCCACCGTTTGACGCATGTCTCGGACAGCAAAACGGCCTGAGGAATAAAAAAAAAAAATCTCTGATTTAAACTTTATCTATTCTCAGAAAGGTTAAAAAAACTAAGATTTTAGATTCAGTTTTTCTTGTAGGCAAGTATTTTTTACTATATGAGGTGCAATCCCTTGTAAAAGTATGTATGCATCTTGGATGTTTTCATATTTTGTTTTCATTTTGCTCTTGATTAATGTTAACCTGCATATTTATTAGCCCATCCATGTCCTGCAATTGTGTGCCATTTGCAACATTTTCATGAGCAATGTTCTGGGAGATGTTCAAAGCCAAGAATGTTATTCCATATCCTGAGACTGCCTGACATATGTATAAAGCTTGTTAGGTTTCTAATTGTAACATGATGAGTAGCAGAGCACTTCACAGAGTATGAATACTTTTGCTAGGCACTGTACTGTAGCAATAGACAGGCATTATATTGCAGGACGGGACACTCACCAAGGGGTGGGTACTCAGAGAAGCTCTCCACACACATAGGCTTGCCTGGGATCATATCCACAATGGCAGCATCTCCAGATTTGAGAAACTTCGGGTTATCCTCCAGCTTCTTTCCAGAGCGGCGGTCTATCTTTTCCTTCAGCTCTGCAAACTTGCAAGCGATGTGTGCAGTGTGGCAGTCCAGCACAGGGGCATAGCCAGCACTGATTTGACCAGGGTGGTTCAGGATAATCACCTATGAAAAATGTAATAGCATTGTAAAATACTGAATTTGGAAAAAAATAGCAGCAAACAAAGACAAGAGCTTGGCAACAAATAAAATAGAATTAATTATAATACAAAAAAAATACAGTGGCTTATATTAGTCAACCCTTGGCTGTCATTTTTTAAACCCCTTTTTCAAATTTTCTCAACTGTGAAGTTACTTTAAAAATGAAAGATTTTGTCTCCAACAATTAAGTTACTAAAAGAGCTGGCTAGTACAAATCTATGGATATTTATCATTTAACTACA